TGCTGCCAATGTGACAGTGTTCACGGCTGGTCGAGGAGGGTGGGGAGGTGGGCGGGCTTTCCAGTTGTTTGCGATACGGCGGACACCTCTCAGCCGCACGCGTGCGTGCAGCTCAGCAGCCTACAATTACCTTTGACGCTAAAAGTCCTTGAATTTAATCCAGTGTTGTGAGTTGGAGAGGTGGTGTTTTCCCTCCGCTCCGTCCGTCCTCTCTCTTCAGGGCCTAAATTATCGCTCCAAATGGGATCTCGTGTCGTTGCCTCGCCTTTTTCCACTCAATTTAATCGAGTAATGAAGTGACTTCCCGACTCCGCGGGTCGCACGGCGCTCCGGCCGCGGCACTCTGAAGGTGGCCCGGTTAAGTGCCCCCGGAGTGGGTGATTTCCTCTAATGAAATATCAATATTTACATCTTCATTTCCAGCTGGCTGCCTTGGCAGCGTCGACCAAACAGGACACCATATTGACCAGAGTGTCCCGGTCTGTCTGTGGACCAGCAGATACGACCAGTCTACAAAGACAGGAGGGACTAGTTCGACTGGACCAGAGTTGATGTCTGTGTCTGACGTCTTCTCATTTGGAAACATATTAGTAATTATTGTTAAAATATACACGGGAGGAACCTTTGATTTTTCATTATTACAGTCAACTTTTTTTTTCTGCTGAATAACAGACGGCTAACATTTAGGGCAGGGGTCTCAAACTCAAATGAGCAGCGGGACAGTGCTGACAGCGTAAGTCCATTAGGGGGCGTCATTAGTTCTGAAGTTTAGTACCGAAAAAAAAAAGAAAATTCGTAACATAAATACTGTGCAATACGATATCACTTTTCTTTTATAACCTGCTAAACCTGAACCGGGAGTTTGAGGTCAACGATTTACGATATCACTTTTCTTTTATAATCTGCTAAACTTGAACCGGGAGTTTGAGGTCAACGATTTCGGGTGAAAAAGCACAAATTTTTTTGTGTGATGATTTTTTGGTTCAGAAGTTTGGATTTTACTTCAGATGTTCAGTAGGGTTTAAGTCAAGACTCCAGTCTTCAGACTGTGACCTGGTGTAAAGGACACCATATATATATATATTTTAATTTGTATTTGTCTTTTTTACACCTTACTGTGTACCAGAGCTCTTCAAAAATACCTTAAATTTCCTCTTTTCTGTCCTGAACTGCTCACAGGAACCATAGATTTATCCATTAACAGGATTGTTTCTTATTACATCTGAAGACGTAACTGCCAGGTCATTACTGAATATCTGTTCAATCTTGCTCAAAAATATAT